AAAAAAAAAAAAAAAAAAATCCTGCAGAAGTAGTGGACGTGAAAAAAAATTCCTGCAACCTGAAAAAGTCCCCCCATCACTTTTTTCTAATGGTCCATCCCTCGGGTAGTAAATGTCGGTATCTAGGGAGAATGTTCAGCTGGTACAGTCTGGCAAGAAATTTGTGCGGGTTTTAATTTTTGCGATTTTTCCACAATCCGCAAAAGTTCCCGAAAAAATTAGCTCCAATGGCGAAATTATGGATACAAACATCACGTGTAGAATCTTACTCACGCCATCTAACTATGAAATTGAAAACAAATCGTTCAGAAAAAAAGACAGTGAAATTACCTTCAGTACACTACAGGTGTTGCTGCTAAAAAAAATTACAGAAAAGTTTTGTCTGAAGATACAATCAGCCACAATATAGCAACATGTAACTAGACTGTCACATAATGACACTGATAAATATATCTCTTCTTGTTGTTTCCTCATTTCAGCTTCACTACACAACAGACAGAACACAATAATCAACCATTAACTTTATTTTGCGTGTTTTGGCCGAGCACCAGAGTACAGTATATTCGTCAGCTTAACTATAAAAAAACCGAACTTAGTGTTGTTGAGCTACTTGATGCCATTTCTAGAGACGAAAGAATTAACAGTTTTAGAGAAAAAGGTGAATAAAACACGTGTATCAAAAACTGTGTCCAGTCACCTTAATAGAGGTTTCACTGTACCAGAATCAAATCCGTTAATGAATAGTGCTCCAATAACCTAAAGTAGTGTACAATTAACTAGCAACTGCGGCGATCTAATGATATAACATCTCCTACAGGTGATCATTTTTGGTACCGACACTACCCATTTTGTGATAATGTGCCAAGAAGAAAGGAAAAACATGGCTGCGGTGATAACTGCGATGCACCCGGACTGTCGCTCTACAAATATTCTGTACCGGCGCTGTAGACTTCTGTGACGCAGCCTATGATAAGATGTACTCAACAGAGTACTTCTGTGGAAGCTTGAAACAGTAGAAAGAGGAAGGAAATAGAATAAGGCCTCGTCCAAGGTACGCCGGAGAAACCGTAAAAACGCAGCTTTATTTCTGCACTAAACCGTCACGAGGACTAAACTTTTCAAAAGACCGTTCTTTAAGCCAAAGTAATTTGAAAACGCTGGCTGTGCATTTTAGTGCGAACGGAAAACATTTGATGCGCTGTCAGAGAAGAAAAGTGTTTTTGAAATTTCTCCAGGGTAGTGTGGACAGGGCCTGAAGTAAGCACTGCACTGAAATGCCTGCTAACACTTTGTCTTGATCCTGTTTATACAAAGGCTGGGCTTATAGGTAAAAAAGGAAAACTTTATTGCTATGATTTCTGGATATAGAGTTATTTTACAAGCTTTTCATAAGTTCATAAAACTATGTATACTTTTGTTTAGTTATATCTATGACATCATGCCCTACAACCCAGGAAAGCGCCTTGGTTTATAGCTGCTTTCAGAATCCTCCTAAATTGTCAGCTTAAGTATGATTTAACAGAAGTTACTTCTGTTTTTCATAAAAACAAAAAACTTAATGAGTGATTTCTTGGAGTCATTGAAGAGCGTTTTTATCTTCACTTTACCAGATTAAATTTGGCATTTTCATGATGTCATTGTTTCTCTTATGGAGCGTGGCAACTGCTGGAAGTGGAAGGCTTGACCGGTGTGGAATTCACATGCACGGAACTAGACCCCATCGAAAACTGCAATACTTCGTGACGAATGTTACTTAAATTATTGAGCTCCGGTCTAAAGAGCATAATGTATAATTTCGGTAGGAATATACAGCAAAGGAAACCATAAGCACTCAATAATGTGTTGACACAGTCCACTACAGTTACATACCATCCATCTATTGAGAACTCTACCGGGTGATAGACAATAAATGACAGCAAGAAGATGTACATTGAAAACGCCAAACGTTTAGTTTTGCTAAAATTTTCAGGGATTTTTCGAATTCTAAATGAACAGAACGCGCACACCAACGCTTGAGACAAAATGTAACAGCAGGTTAGCATGAAAAGGCTCTTCCCGACTATTGAGTTATATCCTTTGCATTCGATAAAAATGTGTTTTTCTGGATACACAAATCTCGCCCTGGAAGGTGGATCTAAAAGGAACCAGGGCAGAATAATAGCTAAAAGTAAGATTTGTAATATCATGAACATGCCCAGTTGGAATCTGCCATTAGAAAAACGTATCTACCATGGCACTACGGGAACTTCAAAAGCGCTTGAGATGCGTGCGATTTTAACCAGCAAAACGGACAGACACATATTATAGATAATGTAACGTAATAGATATATAATCCTACATATTGTATCAATAGGTTCAAAAAGATTACTCACTACAAGTCCATAAAGGATGAAAATACCAATTAGATGAACGAGGCTTAGTTCCCTGTTGGAAGCTTTCACAATTGGAGAGTTCCAACATTTGTAAAATACAGCGAAGGTAAATAAAGTAATAAACATGCCACCACCAGCAAATGCAAAAAGGACAGCTCCCCCGGAATCGAAATACTTTACGTTAACTAAAGGCTAATCAATGCACCTTGTGTTCTCCTGATTGGAATATGTCTCTTTTGGGCATTGAGTACAAATTTCAGATCCATTATGTGGGTTAACTGAACCAGGAAGACAGGGAACACATTGCCAGCAACATGGTGACGTTATTGATGTCCTTGTCCCAGCTGCACATTGATCCACACATTCTGATCTGGGTGTGAATGAGGTACCCGTCGCAGAATTCCAGAGCACCTTCTCTTGAAAACTCAATCGTTTTTTATTTTGTTCATCCGCGTCCCACCTTCCCACTACGACTTGTTTTAGTCGTTTCACATGAGATTTTTGCTCTTGCTGGAAATTAACAATGTGGAATACAGTTGCAGCAGGATCGCCGTGTTGGTCAAATGTAATTTTTCCCGTTAGTCCATTGAAATAAACTTTTGGAAAGAACCTTTGGACGTCTCTTCTTTTCACGTTGCAAGTGTGCTGCTGACAGTAAGTTTCTCGAATAAAGATTTGAATAGCATTCGACACAGCGTATACAGCATCAATGATATAAAGTACATAAGACTGAACTGTTAATCAAATCCCCGAGATCGAGGGAACATAGCACATTTTCATGGTCCACATTTACATTACTTACTTCATCAAAAGAACAAGTTCTTTCACGCAGAGTCCAATACCCGCTCCACCACTCCTGAGAACCGTTTTTCGTAGTGTCTAGATTTAAATATTTTGCATATTCTCGAAAACCCGCATCAGAAATCCATCAAGGACTAAATAGCCGGGGTCAAGAAAGTAGCTTAATTCGGTTCCTTATCCCTCACTGAGGAGCCAGACCTTTCCAGTGAGATTTTGAATGTTGATTTCATCTCGAAGTGTTTTTTCATAACTGCCGTATATCCATAGAACTATAACTCTGATATTTTTGTGTCGTTTTAGTCTTGCAACAATCTCTCTAATGCTTTGAAACTGTCTTTTACGACTAATGAATTCGGTTATAACAACACAAAATGCGTAATTTCTCCTTGAAGCTTCCTCTACGAGATACCACACTCCATTTCGCCCATAGCAATCGTCCAGTCCTACGGCCGCTACATAAGTCCAGTTAAAATTCTGAATGATATCAGCTATGGCTTTGACTCGAAAAGTGTCGGAAGGCATTGTTCTGTAAAAATGATTGTATGTCTGTGAACTCAGTTCAGGGCTTGTTGTAGTTCCGCTTATTGCCGATACTCCAAAGACTTGAAGCAGACTTGCTATGGCCAGAGCTGTGCTGGATTCTTTTGGACCAATAAGGGCTACCACTGGTTTACTTTTCTCATCAGTTTCATTGCACGCAGAGGATTCTCGAAAAAGGTCGTTGGTAATTCGCATCGCCTTTGAGACATTTCCACAGTAATCCTGTATATCATAGCCAAGAGTTAAGTTTGGCAAAATAATTGACTCGTTGTTGATTTTCTCAATGGCGAATATCATGGCTTGAGCAAGACCGAGTCCTTTCAAGTCAAAATCGATGTATTGTCCTTCCGAATTTTCTAAATGGGTTACGAAAAGTCCACCTAACATAACGTCCCCTTCTAAATACTGTACTTGTACAGAAACGCAATTGTAAAAGATCCAGACAAAAACGAGCCAATACCGGGGGTTTCCAACGGGATTCATATTCAGATGCGGACTAAGTAGCGTACAACATTATTCATGAAATTGGTATTCGCGGGTGGTATTATTCTACTCCAGGAGCCATAATCGGGGACGGAGACCGCAAGCGCGCGCCATTTCTAGTATTGGGGTTGTCCCCATGATATGGGACAATAATTCTATTTTTAAAACAAATTGCGCCATCGCCGGAGGCACA